TTCGACCCCAGAAACAAGATTATGAGAGTTTTTTCGCGAAAAAAAATGAAAGATTTGAAATTTTTTAAAAATATTTTAGGAAATTGTTTTAGTTTTTAGTTAAAAAAACCTAATTTGTTCATAATATGGCAACAGAGGTAGTAGATTAAATTTACATGAAAGAAAATCCATAAAAGATTCAGTGGTTCTCAACATTTTATCAAAAAATCATTTTTTTGAAATTGTTGTTTTGGATTTATTTCAAAAACGGTAAAGAGAAAATATGTTTCTTTTATCGTGATCTATCAGCCCTGAAAATATGTGCACTTATTTAAGACTAACCCTGTATAATATTTTTTTCAAATGTTTAGTTTCCAAAACGAGAATTTCTATGCAGTAAGATTAATTTGTAATGTCGACTTTTTTACATTTTTATTATTTTATTTTTTGAAAGTTTTTTATTAGATTTATCAATTAGATAAATACGTATCTTTGTACGTCATTATTATAATTAATATTATATGTGTGTGAATAAAATAAATAAACTAATTAATTAGTTTTATGTAGGTTTCTAATTAGATATAATTATAGACCCGTTATTAGTAGAACTCGTATAGGCGATAACCCTAAATAACAGCAAGTGCACAAAGAGACCACATTTTAATCAAATTAATGGACTCCTTTTTAATTAAGCTAATACGTCTAAGCGGATAGGTTTATATTTTCTAAGCTAATTAAAAACATGACTAAACAATTTGGCTAATCTGTTCATTTCGTAATTCTATGCCTGTTGTACTGAATTCAGAGGTATCACGTTATTTTGTCATAATGTAAGATGTTATGATGAACACGTTCTCTTTTTTATGTGTTTGTGTATTGAAACAAATTTTTTCGTACAATACATTTTTAATTATATCAACATCATACATTTTGCTAACATTTCCTGGTTTTATAGTGTTTATATAGGGTATAAAAATAGTGTACTAATGTTATACTGCATACTACATAATATGTTCATAGGAACTTTTTCTTGTATTTTCATTGGTAGTATCTGTATATACTGATGGTATGACAAACAAACCTAGATTATATTTTCTTAGTACAATCTCGAAAATAGTGCCGTTCGGATTCGTCAATAAGCCATTGATCCTATATACTTGTGAAAAATTAATGACATAAATTACAAATACATAGAGAAGGACTCTTACGCTCTATACAGAATATGACACTGTAATGTATATTGAAAATCGTTCTAATTTTTTTTCAAACAATTAATTTTGCGACGGGGTCCGGTGGCGTAGAGATACAGACTCTCGTCTACCAATCTGAAGGTAGTGGGTTCGAATCCCACACCCGGCGTTTCATCAGCCGACTATTTTTATTAAAATAAAAATAGTTTGGGTACCTAGGTCGACTCAGCCTTAAATGAGTACTTGGGATTCACAATCCTGAGGAAATAATAGGCGGTTAAAGCGTAGTGCTAAGCATCGCCCCAAAAAGTATCATTCTTACTCCTGATAAAACAATATACTATTAAGGCAGGCGGCCACTGCGAGCGAAACTAAACTAAGCCAAGCGAAGATAAGATTTGTAAAAATGAACTCCCATACTTTTAAATATATCGGCGGCCACTTGAGCGAAACTAAACGAAAATATATGAACGAAGATTCAAATCGTAGTTTAGTTTCGCTCGTTTTAGTTCGTGACAGGTTCCAGCGAATTTTTTGCAGCGATTAGTTCTATGATAACAGAGACACAATACGAAAACGCAGCTTACTTAGCTGACTACTAAGAAAAAATCGCTCCCAGTGGCCGATGAAACTTATTTTCGTTTAGTTACCGTTTCTTTCTATATTTTTAGCTTAGTTTAATTTCGCTCGCAGTGGCCGCCTGCCTTTTTGCTTCATTTTAAAGTCTTCCTGCTCTTTATTGGGCCACTTGAATTATCATCAATGTAATTTTGTGTCTAGAAATAAAGAAATTTTCTATTATATAAGCATTTTATATAATAAAATTCTATATAACTTCGTATCATAGTTACTTTTGACTGACTTCTATTCTCTTTTATTAATGTTGTATTAGAAATAATAAATGATTTAATTTTTATTGTCTTACGCTCAGTTTAAAAATTTTAGTCTTGGTAATGAATATTCTAAAAGTAAAGTCCTGCAATTTTAAACAGATCCTTTATCCTTGTCATTGTTTAGCGAACTTTATATGAAATGTCACGGTATTGTGCTCGCAACCAGAGCTCGCTGAAAAATAAATATAATTTTGAGCGACTTAAAAGTTAGACACACACCGAGACTCCACAGTCCTCTATAAGTGTATGAAATATGAAACGAATTAATGAACAAATTACTCCGGGCGGGGTGTTTAATACCAGAAAATGAAATTTATAATGAAGCAACCAACCGCTACTAAATTGAAATTGGCCTCGTAACTTCTAATTTGGAATGTTATTAGATATTTCCCTTTTCGTATAATTTTCATTCGCTTCCGCCATTGTGGTGCGCAACACCCCATACCGCCTATACAACGTTATTTGTATTAAATATTTTATGAGATTTAATGTATTTCTGTAGGATTTAATTTAAATATAATGGTGATTAAATTAATTTCCCTTTAATTACAAGAAAATAATAGTTATAATATTTCTTGAAAAAGTCTGGGTCCTGAAGCCAACTGCATTAGAATTGAAACGGAAACTAATTTATCACTTTGTACTTTGTACCTGTAAACACATTTTCCTAATCACAAAGAAATGCTTTACGTTTTAGGGGGTATATATTTCCTCCTGTCGTCAGAAACAAAAAAAAAGAATAAAGAAAAAATATTAAAAATCTCTTAATCTAACTACTTTGAGGACTTTTTAGTTTAATAAAGTATCTTATCCATACATATACCCGGTGAGTCGCAAAAGTGGCCCACCCCTATAACTTTTTTTATTTTTTTAGTTAAGAAAACGAGATTTGGTATGTTAGTCTATGACATAAATTAGGATTGATTGACGTATTCAATTGTTTTCGGTCACTTCCGGTTTCACCGGAAATGACTACAACTTTTGATTTTTAAATAGCACCCCCGGTATTTTTTTACTTTATTCCATAGAAAATGTCACTCTGAAAAAATCCGCAATTATTTTGAGTACATAAATGCATCTTTTTAAAACTGAATTTCTAGCTATTGTCACAGAACGACCGGTCGCCTTAATTAAACTTCTCCTGTTCCGCCTCTTCGAGTGCCTCTCTTAATTCATAAGTTTTTTTGTAAACCTTGTTGTTAACCATACCGCATAAAAAAATCTAAAATGGATAGGTCAGGTGACCGAGGAAACCCATGCAATTGGTCCACCTCCTTGAGTCTACGTAATTATGATATAAATAATTTTTTAAATAACATTTCTTTCATTGTAGGGGGGGGGGTTGGTGCGTCATAATGAAAGTCATGTTGGAACCACTGTATTAATGCGCGAGTATCTAAATTTAACTTTTCTAACATGTCTTGAAAACCGTTTTCTAAAAAAGGTAACGTTCACCGGTCAACATATCCTCGAAACTGTATGGCCAAGAAAAGTTGAACCAATAATTCTACACGGTCTTCTTCATTTAAAAAAACTCTTATTTACAATTTTTGTTTATGTTAATTTACAAAGATTGGATGTGACAATTTCACATTTCTGAGAGCAACGAAGATTGAACTTGTTTCCATGGTTAACTAAGTGAAATTAGTCAAGAAAGATAAGAATTGGTTATAACTCAGTAATTTTGTGAAAGAAACATATTATAGCTTATATCGTTGAAAAGCTTAAAAAACGGCGCTTTTTATGAAGTCATGGCCAACTATGGTTTCCATTTAAAAAAACATATGTTTGTGTCACATGTCAAAAATGACAGGCTTTAGAAAAAATCGGAGAACACAGTCTCATTAGGGATGTGATTATCTACAACTTTTATCTGAAAATTTTTTGTCTAAAATAGATTATAATGCAATTAGGGACAATTTTTAAAATAGCCAAAATTTGTTTTTTTCGAAATATCTAGTAAGCCATGAACTTTTTCGAAAATCTGAAAAGCGCATATTTATGACCCCACAAAACTGCAATTCTTTCCCCATTTAACTGACTCTCTATCTCCAGTAGTTTCCGAGATTCCCATAGAGAACATCGTAGGAAACTCAACCTGTATATAAATTATTTGTCATTGTCAGTGGTGTGTCATTTAAAAAAAAATGGAATTTTGTTTAGTTTTTAGTTAAAAACCATAATTTCTTGATAATACGACAGGTAACATAGGTAGTAGATAAAATTTACCAGACAAAAAAAAACAAAAAGATCCAGTGGTTCTCAAAATTTAAGTAAAAAATATATTTTTATCAATTTTTTAAAATAACTCGGTTATTTTGGAGATATTGAAAAAAAGAAAATATGTTTCTTTTATCGAGATCTGCCAGCCCTGAAAATATTTGCACTTATTCAAGACTCGCCTTGTATAATACTCAGAAAATCGACAATTGCAAACTTTCATATGAAATACGAGTAGCTCTAAAACTGTTAATAACATAGTTTAAATAATGCATTTGTAAGTTTCACTAGCTCTATAAGGAGAAATCAATGCATGAACGATTCGAGGTATAACGCAAACGAAGTCGCGGGAAAAAGATTGTTTTTTATTAATGCTACATTAGTTCTGTTTACATTTTTAATATTTCTATTATAAAATAAATTCTTTAGAATATTATAGCAAGTTCTAATGCAACTTTATAATATAAAATCTGAAAATTGAACAACTGTTTATTAAATTCCACAATATTGAAATAATATAAATTAACAAATTATCGATATTTTTCTTGAAAAATCTACAGTATTAGCGAAGCATTTCGATAATTTGTTAATTTAAATTGTTTCAATATTGCGGAATTTAATAAACTGTTATTTAATTTTTCGTTAGCTTATGGAGTTGAGCCAAGTAACGACAGAAACAATTCAACTTATAATATAGTATATCCTATTTATTTTTCAGAAAACAATGTTACTCCGGCAGTCAACGTTGGGGAAGATGGTAAGTATTTTTTTTTCGTTTCACTTTATATGCAAATATCATTAAACTGTAGTTTTAAAATAGTCAAAAAGAAATTTGCAGTGGAGATGATAAAAAGTCATATTAAAAATACTGTTGATTTTTTATATAGATGAAGATCAGGAAGAAGATGACGAGGAAGAGGAAGATGGTCCTGTATATAATGAAACTAATTTTAAATTTGAAGACTTTACTAAAAGGTTTGTAAAAATTGTGTGTATATTCAGAATTTTATACTTTATTGATAAATCAATGTATCATCATCAATTTTTTATAGTTTACATAAATACGAATCGTATTTAGGGCAATGTTTATTTTGAATATTAAGGGTTTATAATGGTCTGTTATTTTTTTTAGACAGTAAACTAAAAATTTAGAGGGCGTCGTGAAAGAAATGATAACTTTGTAAATAACTGACATACTAATGTACAATTTCGTGGATATGTTTCTTTTAATTTGATATAAAACTGCTTTTAGACTTCCTCACCCGAAAATTGTTAGAGCTTGCGGACTAGCGTTAAGACAATTCGACAGGAACACAGTCAATGCCAACCATTGCATTGTTAAATTACTACATCGAATTGCTTTCGACTGCAAGATGCCCATAATGGTTTTCCAGTTAAGTATTTTCCGGACTTTTCAAAGGATCTTTCAGCTAAAGGATTTGCCTGAACACAAAGTAAGTAAAGATACGTTTAAATAAGGTAATGCATTTAGTTGAGTCTAGGTTTTGAGTATTATTATTTGAATTATTTTCTAATAATAATATTATAGACATTAATTAATTATTATATTTTTTTAAAAAACAAATGTTTTAAATAGTTACTGTTAAATTTTGTGTCTGGCCGCGGGCAATAACTAGTTTTATATATTTCTTTATCTGGCGACAAGATTTGATATATTATAAATCGTGTTATACAGGGTGAGTCTTAAATAAGTGCAAATATTTTTAGGGCTGTTAGATATTGATAAAAGAAACATATTTTCTCTTTACCGTTTTTCAAATAAGTCAAAAATAACCGAGTTATTTTACTTTCGAAAAAAAATATTCGAAAAAAATGTTTTCCTTAAATTTTGAGAACCACCCAAGTAGCATCTATCTGACTTCGAACTAAATCTGACCTGAAGCGACGCCAGTCTTTGTGCAAATTTAGGTCGGATGCTGGTGATACGACCGGTGACGTCGCTTTCCTATTTAAAAGCGACGTCGTTGGATCCGAGTCGGTAAATCCAACGATCTGTCGACGTACAAAATAACAACGTACCATTTTTATTAATTTCCCAACGTCGTTCCCACGTTGGCTTGCACGACGTACATATACTTGAACTAGCCCGACGTCTACCCGTTGTCCGAATAGGATACGTCTCACTGATAATCCCTAAAGTAACGTCCAATTATATTTTGTTATATTTTATGTTCATATTTATAACCTAATTTACGTATCTCTATTTACGTCCGTAAATACAACCCATTAAGTAGCATTTTTGCGATCTAATGAACATCATGAACATAACCTAATAAAAAGTTTTTGTAAACAAACTTTTTTTATTATGCCTAAAAAACACTAAAAGGCATTTAGACATTCATCTACATTTTACAGAAAGAGGTCGAGGCTTTTGCAAAATAATAATAGTAGTAGTGATGTCTTGCCTCCACCCATAAATGCTTTTATCCGTAAGAGATGCTGCATTACACTGGTGCATCTTAATTTTATTTTAGCTTAGGAAACCAGCAGACCCTTCGTCCTCCTCCCACATGTGAGGTTAGGCTTAAAAAGTGGCTGCCCATTTTTTTTTAAGGAGAAAACAAAATCTAAAATATAGTTGCACAAATCCACAAATCACTGATACGCAAAGTGAGGTTACGTGGCGTACGTTGGAATTATATACGTCATAATACGATTGCCGGTCATCCGGTTTGATGACTTCGGTCGTGTGAGACGACTAATGTTGGAGACCCGGTCGGAATTGGTATATTGGTAGTTCATATTAAGTCGGACACAGAAATCCGCCATTCTTAACAAGTATCCGATTGTCAGCCATTTTAAAATCGTTTTTTGTTTTTAAAATTTATATTCACATTTCGATTTCTAGTAGAATAATATTGATAAGGTTGAGTTTGGAGGAAACCACTGTACAGTTTTATGATTAAACCAGCTAGAAAATTAAAAAAATATTTTGCGAGTTACTTTTTTATAGATATTTTTATTTCATAAATCTACCTAATTTTGAAGGTGCTCGTTGTTTTCCGGAGTATTTTAATCAGATATATCAAAAAAGTGATTTTCGTTGACAAAACTGATGTCTGGATTAATGATTCAGAATTATTATAATATGAAATTAGATAAGCACTTATAGTTATATTCGAGGAGTGATTATAAATCCATTTGTAATTAGGTAGTTTGGTTAGGTTTTTATGTATTCTTGGAAGCGAATATGAAACCAAACGTAACGTAAGTGCTTAGCGACGAATTTTAAGTGACTAAAATCCAACGTAATATGACGTTGGTAATTGGTAGAATTACATTCCCTATCAGGTCAGATACCGACGTCGAGGCGACCCGAATCTCTATTCCCCATTTAGGTGCAAATAAGGTCGTCAGGCGGTCGAACCGACGTTGGTACCCGACGTCGGGTTTATTGAACGCGACGTATACCCGACGTTAGATAACGTCCAAATGCTACTTGGGCACTGGATCTTTTCTGAATTTTCTTTCTTGTAAATTTATTCTACTACCTACTTTGCCATATTATCAAGAAATCGTGTTTTGTAACTAAAAACTAAAAAAATTTGCAAAATTTTTTTCAAAAAATTTCAGATTTTCAATCTGGAATTTTGGATCACCATCGCTGACGCCATTTTTTCCGATCATACTGTATTTACACTTATTTAAGACTCACCCTGTATAATAAATTGATGAATTTAATTTAATTTAAAGTTTGTTCTCTTCTTTTTAGAGCATTTAATTAAAAATTTTTTTTTAAAAGTATATTTTTAATTAATAATTTTATTTTAAACTCTTTATTTGTCTCTTAACTTCTAATCTAACCTTAAAAAGTTAAGTAATGCAAGTTTTTACCTTGTTTATGAAAATAGGTTAGAGTATGATATATTTTTAGAAAGTTCATAACAAGGCAAACCAAATAAAAATATACAGGGTATTCCATTTAAAAAGATTTTGAAATTTACTCCGTATTTCAGGAACTAAGAGCGTTAGGTAGAGCATCTTTAGTTTCACAATAAAAGTAGCATAGTGATGTGAAATCAGTATGTTATAAATTAAATCTATATGCAATTACCCAAAATGAGTACCCTGTACCCTGTACAATATTTATACACCAAGTTAAATAAAAGCTTGTGAAAAGATTTGAGTGAAAATCTCAAGGGGAAACCATACATATATTAGGTTTTTTGTACACTGGACCACACTGTAATGAAATACTATCAAATTTTGATTCATCAGACACCTAAATGTAGATTTTGCTATTGTACGTTATTCCTAGGCTCACCTGATGATGGAGTAGGGCTCCGAAACCGGTAGTGAGAGCAGGTTGATCCACATTATGACAAACACAGCCTGGAATTAAATTTCTATATCAGCAGTTATATGGCAAGAATTGTTATATAATTTTTTGTTATTCCTAGAGTGACACCCTGTGCGAAAGACATTTTTCTTTGCACATTTTACTTTTCTATTCTTCATTCTATCTTCATTTATGATAAAAAATACATATTTCGGCTCCATCGACAACCTTTTCTAGAAAACATATTTAAATCGATTCGGAAGAATTTCTAATGCCTGAGCCCCGGGACCGGGAATCTCATTTTTTGCCTGCTTCGATTGAATTGGGGTCAACAGTTCTGGGAGCTCTCTTAACAGTCAATATTTAAATTTGTGTCGCTTTCGTCGAGCTTTATTGAAGTTTTGAATATCTTTTTCGCTTTTGCGTTTGAATTTTATTACTTCGACTGCGGAGCTGTAATGCGTGCGGTTCCGGGGTTGCGCCAATAAGGACGGGTTTGGGCTTGGCAGATTATAGAAACGAATGTTTCTGGTCAAATGTCGAGATAAGCCGTTCTTTCAATACTGATCTCCGTATAAACGTCAGAATTTTCTAATAAAATTCTGACTTTTATATGGAGATCTAAAGACTCTAAAAAGTTCAATAAAAGCTCTCTATGAAGGTTATGAGAACTATTACATTCAAAGAATATAAAAGTTTAAAATAAGCGTCAAATATAAACGTAAATTTGTATATAATTCTTCTTTGTATACAAGATACAAGTGTATTGTCTATATCTACATTCAACAGTTTTCGAAATATTGCATTAAAAAAGGTAGAAAAAAGACTCAAAGTCTCGGTCTCAACGTTTATACAATGTGAAACTGTTACACGTGTTTCGCTCATACCTATACGAGCATCATCAGACCTAAGAAGAAAGAACCTAAATAAATAACAAATAATAAAAAGGTCGTTATAACTTACATATACAATTAAAATTAATCCAAATACACGTTCACATTTTACAATTAAAACAACACTGGGACGAGGCTGAAATGACCGGCAAATATTTGCCAATAAAAAACAAACAGGAACAAAAAATCAAACAAAATCAAAAATAAAATAAAAAATAGAATAGCCCAGCGGGATTTGAACTCTGGCCTCCCGGGTGGGAACCAGAGAGCAAAGCCACCAAGCTACCATACTACTGAAGTAAAGATTCAGACCTCAACAATAATACACGGCCGAATTAATCTTTCAGATTATTGAAAATTAATGTTGGTTCGAAATTAAAAATGTCATTCACGCACACAAGAACCGGACTTTTTAGCTCTAGTTATTTCCATTTTCTCCAATAAATCAAGTTTTTTATTTTTTTGGCATTCGTGCAGAACACTAACGTTTTCTGAGATGGAAAACTCGTGACCAGTGGCTAATAAGTGGTTCGCAAAAGCCGATTTAGTCTCAGTTATATCCGAATTTCTGTATTTATTGACAATGCTCAGATGTTCCTGTACTCGGGTGGAAATCTTTCTACCTGATTGCCCCACATAGACCGCTTGACAGTCGCCACAATTCAAAGAATAAACTCCCGATTTAGAGAGCCTCTCCGTTTTGTCTTTATTTCTAACCAAATTTGCTTTTAATGTATTAATAGTTTTAAAGGAAATAGATAAATTAAGATTTTTAAAACATTTTGCCAATTGGAGTGAAATATTACCAAAAAATGTTAAATCTTTATACGGGCCTCTCTGTAAATTTTTCGAATGTGTATGACATTATAAGACATCTTGTACCTATTTACAAACTTATAGTAAATCTTGTTAATAGTTCCTAGCGGAAACCCGTTGTTAAAAGCAATTTGTCTTATAATGTTGAGCTCTATGATCTACATGAGCTCTACATATCTAATGAAATATTGCATGTTAATTTTTTTTGACTGTCAAAATGGTAATTTTGGTGCATTTCAGTTGATTTTAAAAATTCCGACCGCAGCGCTCGATACGGCAGAAATTAAAACTGTCCGACTAAAGTATTTCACGCAGTCCCGTTAGCACATTTACAATACATCCTATGTGACACCGATTGCTCGTCTCTACCAGTTAGGAATTGCACTGCGCATCAAAGTGCACTCCAATCCCTCATCGGGCAGGACGAAAAAGGTGCCAAAATGCGCCGCGGGAAACCGCAAAGTGCTCATTATAATATTAATGGTATACCTCTCTTAATCAACTAATGCTTAAATTTTTATGAACATCTTCTAAAATTATAATTATGTACCTTTAAAAAATGTCATTATAGCCGAAATAGCCCCAGTTATGCCACCACTAATAAAACCGGTATGTAAAACTATGCTTGCTACCGTAGTTGAACTCATCTAAAAAGTTTTATTAGCTTGAATAATAAATTATAATAATTTTTTCGTGTATTCGTTATATAAATCCGTTTATTTGTTTAGTCCGCTGTTTACAGTATTCTCCGATTGTGGCAGCACCGACGAAGAATGCACCAAACATATATTAAATAAAAAAATTCTTTTGGAAGAAACATTATTCAGTTAATAGCTACTGTTATCCGACCCAAAATTTGTAATTATAATAAGATTATTATAACGATATTATAAATATAACTGAATTTAAGATATTGATGTTCTATAAAACAATAACACCATATACGGAGTGCTACAAATTCGGGGTACGAGGATTGATATCTCGATAATCGTAATAGATACGAACATTGTTATACTGGGGCAAAGTTGGGCTTTGGAATATTTACCAAGATGTCATCAAAAAAGATTGCTGAGTTTTTTTGGAAAAAAGAGTTTTTTTCAAAATCAATTTTATTTTTTCCTGTCGTTACTTTTTTGAAAATAAAAAAATCAATTGCACATTCTAGCCACTTTATTAGGACTATTTGATAGACGGAGAGCTGGCTACATAAAAAACCTTATCATCGTTACATGGCTAATTTTTTGTGTGAAGTATCCTCTTGTGTAGCCATTATGAAATAGTCATGTCTGCCAGCGCGATCCCGGGGCTTAAAGTGGTGGCGGCCAATCGAAAGGGTGAAATTTTGACACTAAAAATATTATTACACGTGTTATAATTGCGAAAATAGCTTTTATTTATTATTAAGAAACGTGTAAAACTGTTGACAGATATTTTTCTCGTGGCTAAAATGCCGGCATACAACCTGAAAGAGGCATGGAATTTGACAAAAAAAATCATCGTATACATGCATGTCGATTGGAGGAATGTCATGTTTATTTATTTAAAAAGCCGTATGCAAAAGGACAAACAAAATAATCGTGGCTCAATCAGTGGTAGACAGTTATAAAAAACGCAATATTACTCTACAGGGTGAATCTTGAATAAGTGCAAATATTTTCAGAGCTGGTAGATCTCGATAAAAGAAACATATTTTCTTTTTACCGTTTTCCAAATAAGTCGAAAATAATCGAGTTATTCAAGTTTGAAAATTTCAAAAGAAATTGATTTATTTTTAAATAATTTTGTGAGACACCAGTTTTTTTTCTGTACTTGCATCCATTATTTTAGTGTCGTATATAGCCATAGAGTAAAGCCGTAAGCATGATATTTAGGTTAAGAAATAATTATACCGCTGGTAAATTTGCAGTGAGCAGGCAATTCTAAACAGTTTTCTAAAATATACAGAAAAACTTAAAAATAATGCACGATTTTCTACATCTTTTTATGCGAAAAAAAACTCAGACGTGTTCCTGGGGTCGAAATATATAATATCACCCTTAAAAGTATTTTCACTTATTTAAGACTCACCCTGTATAAGCGTTTTCAGGAAACGCTGGCCGTTTTATCAATTGAATCATAATATCTGTAAGTCTGTAAAAAAATTACGGTGCAGATATCGACCCAGAGGAAGACTCGTTTGTGAGAGCGGGGATCTGCAGTACGATGAGTCAGATACAAATAGTGAGACAGAATAGTAAATTTATGATATCTGTTTTGAAATAATAAAAAAATATATATTTATAATATAATCGTATACATGAATTATCTATACTTTAATGGATGAGGCGGCGAGCGTTCCTTGAAAGGGCTAGAGAGTAATATCGCGCTTTTGATAACTGTCTGCAGCTGATTTAGCCACGATATTTTTGTCTGGCCTTTTGCATACGGCTTTTAAAATAAATAAATATGACATTCCACCAATCGGCATGCATGTATGCCATATTTTTTTTTCATTCTTCAAATTTCATTTTTAATAATTTTCGAGATAATTTTTAAAATTTCATGCCTCTTTCGCGTTGTCTGTCGGCATTTTAGCGACCAGAAAAATGTCTGCCAACAATTTTCCACGTTTTTTAATAATAAATAAAAGCTATTTTCGCAATTATACCTCGTGTACTTAAATACCTTTACTATAAAATTTTTAGTGTCCAAATTTCACTCTTTCGATTGGCAGGCCCCCGCTTTAAGCCCCGGGATCGCGCTGGCAGACATGACTATTTCATAATGGCTACAGAAAAGGATACTTCACACAAAACATTAACCATGTAACGATGATAAGGTTTTTTTTTATGTAGCCAGCTCTTAGACTATGATAGTATTTTTAGATTTTCAAATTAGCTGATAATTTGTGAGATACAGAGGCCAACTTTTTTTTAATACGGACCTGCATTTTTATTTCAGGTTTTGAAAGAACTCAGTCCCCTGGGTATAATGATATGCCACACTTATTTTTTTTTGTTTCGGACATTTGAATACAGATAGCCCTAATAAAGTGGCTATGAGAATGTGCAATTAGTTTTTTAATTTTCTAAAAAGTAACGACAGGAACAAATAAAATTGATTTTCAAAAAAATCCGTTTTTCCAAAAAACTCAGTAATCCTTAAAATGTTTTAACACTTTTCTGATGGCATCTTGGTGAACATCCCAAAGCGCAACTTTGCCCCAATTTAACCATGTTCGGATCTATTACGATTACCGAGATACCAATGTTCGTATTCCAGAATTTGTAGCACCCTGTATAGGTGATCCTATATAAAATAAATAAATTAGCAGCTAGTTCCGTTTAAAACCAGCAAGTGAACAATATGCAACTGGAAGTAATCTTGTATCTGCCCTTTGTATCGTAAAAGAAAATTGATTAAATTCTTTTTACATTTAAAACTAATTTATATGAAAAATTTATCCTTAAAAATAGTCCTTAAATTTTACGATATAGAGTAAATGTCGAACCTTTGAAAATATTGTAATTGCAGTAGGTTAATAGCTTCGGCGAACATTCTTGATCGAAACTTGGCCAGGTACTTGGAGTAATAAAACCACTCTTTTGTTACGGTTCCCAATAAACACGCCAAACATTTCCACTTACTAAAACCGACCCAAAAACTATTTCAGGAATTGGTTAAGTTCGCAACTTACATCGTGCGGCAATTCATAAAAGTATCCGAAACTAACAAAAAAGTTTTCATGGAGGCTTTGTTCTGGAAGTCCAGCGGGGAATGCTGCGAGATCGAGAACGGATACAATATGTCCGATGGAAAGTAAGTAAAGAACAACTTAGAGAGATAAAATGAACTGTCTCTCCTTTTTTCTTTTTTTTTCTTTTGTTTGTCTTTATAAACGTCTCTTGTGCAGGAAAACTTTGTTTGCTCCTATTTTTCCGTTCTTCGAATTGCAAAAGAATTTTTGTTGAGGCAATTTAACTGATATTCTTCAATTTACGATATTTGATGAAATATTTATAGCTATTTAAAAACAACATTAAAATTTTAATTAGCTAATACAGAGCGATCAAAAATGAAATTGTTGGCTATTCTGATTTTGTTCGTTTGGTTTATCGACTGTTATTACTACCGTCCAAACAAATTTATTATATATTTATGTATAGGTTCTTCTTTAACATTTTAAGACAGAAAAAAATATGACGTTAATTAGTATTCTATTAATATCAATCTATCAAAGAATGAAAACCAAAATATATTTTCATAGAAACGCGTTTTGATTTTTAGAACTTCAGGAAGGGCATAGGAAAAACATCTTATTCTCTTCTTAGGACTTTAGGAAAACAACTAAATCAACCATATATTCATGGTTATTTAACGTATTATTTCTGTAAAACGATATGGGAATTTGGAAAGGTATAAACGGAATTAACCATTTGGGAATAAGCAAAAATGCCAAACGCATTGAATGAAGAACGCATTTTTTTCACAATTTCGATAACAAAAAAATGTTCCTCTTGTCAATCCGAGGACATTTTTGAAGATAGTAGTAGACCGGACATGGGCACGCCGCATATTACATCTGGATTATGTAGAGAATATATGGTCGGCTTTATGACGAAAAGGCGTATCTCGATTTTTTCTACTTTTTAGGAGAGCAATTTAAAGAAAATCACTTACTTTATTTGGCCAATAAATGTAAAGTCTTTAATTTTTTAATAGTGTTTTTGTATTAACACTTAAACGGAGACATTGAGGAAACGTTCTGAAGATAAATTGAGCGTAAATTCTAATAAATAATTTATTTTTAGTTGTTTAATAGAGATAGGCCTTTTTGTTATAATAATAATAAATTTATTTCCGAACGAATAGTATACATACGCCCATGTAAAATAAATTTAAAAATGACGGTAAAGTGTTCTTAATAAGAAAAAAATGATACAATATTCACATTATGGAATACTTACAAGAAAATACAATACATACATACAAGAAAAAATCTGAAAATCGCCAAAAATCAGCAACAAATATTTTTAAATACTTTTATTCGCGTTAGATTAGATCAACTGAAAACAAAGACAATTTTCATGCCAGAAGCAAAGACAATAATCAATTAAAATACTCTTATCTAGCTTATTTTAATAATATTGTTTTTCAGACAAAAACGCATTCTTTTAACTAATATATTTTTAGTAATTTTTTAGCTAATTGAGGGCATTAATTCAGGGTATTTAAACTCACGGTCCATATAGTAAAAACCAAACTAAACAAAAACAAAACATGTTTCTTCATTCGTTTTTTTTATACAAATAACTGTGGAGTAACAGTTTCTGTTTTCCCTGTTCAATGATAACAAATTCAACTTCCATTCTACGTGTTTATGCTGGATGATGATAGCAAAATAAATAAAATTTTCCAAAAATTGGTAGGGCTGACAATGCCAATGGCCTGACAATGATAATGAGATGAAAATTATTGTATTTTTCGGGCAAGTTTTTGGTTCTAAAATGTTCTTAGAGAAATTATGATTTCGGGAAATTTTCCATTAGGGCAATTTTCGTTTCGTTATTTTGCTTTCGATAAAAATTTTCCTTTTATTCAGCCATTTATTATCGGACAATCTTTTGCATGCCCGATACAGCTATGTGCAGTGTCTAGCTCATTCTAACAATGGTTTTTGGCAAAAAATAGACTCTAAAATCACACTGTAAAAGAGAGCTGCTGCCATGATAGAAGTTTTATTTTGTTTCAAGCAACCGTCAGAAAATAATTAGGTAGAATGGTGTGATTTTCTCTCGCATGCATTTTCATAACTTCAAACAAAAGGACCTATCTCAAATTCCATCTTTCTTGTAGCATAACAATTGGTATAACAATAATTGATATTACAAAGAGCCCTATCTCAACATACGTCTCTTCGTCATAACGAAGAATTGTAGTATTTGAGATGAGGCAAATTTTTAAACTAATATAAAATGAAAAAAGGTACAATATTGAGAGGCGCAAATTCGCTATGTTAAAATATGACCCATTGGGCATGTCATGACGTTGATATCTCAAAATCGCCAAAAATCGAGATAGGCCTTTTCGTCATAAAGCCGACGATATGATCTAAGATTCTTTTTTGACTATATCCCAGTACTATATTGTAGAATAGAATAGGCAGGATTGATCTGAACAAAGCAGTAAAGGATTTTTTGCCTTTGCAGATGAAAGACGCCGTTTGAACAATTTGTCTTCAAAGATATTTTTTTGTCAAAGTCAAATGCCTGCCGTAAATAATGTATGCGAACTATAAGCGATTTTTCCTTTTGGGAGAAAAATAAAGTTAGCTACTGTAAAGGTTTCGGGCCATTTCTTGAGAAACTTTATCGCACAGAAAAAAGTTAAGCGTAGATTTACGCGGCTTCCTACATTATAAACGACCGTTTGTAATTTTTTATTCCCTTTTTCTTATCAAAGTTTTATCGCTTTATAGGAATATTTTCAGAGGCACGGTGGAGATGACTCCACTGTTTTCGTAGCTTGGGGAAATACAGTGAGTGCTAGTTTTGAACTTTGCAGAAGGAATAGGTACATAAACATTAACGAGTGCTTTTCTTTAAACAGAAACTTTTAAAGTGTACCTAGGAGATACGAATTAGATATATTAGTTTAGGTATAAAAGAATTACAAAATAACGAATGAACAGAACTTTTACTATTTTTACTTGCTTTCCTCTATATTATAAAACCATTTACCTTTGTACAACAGTTATTTTTTATACAAGACGATAAAATGGTATTTTACGATAATGCAATTTTATCGTCGTGTATAAAACAATTTTTTTTTCCATAGCGAGTTACGTTTTAAAAGATATTCAGAAATTATTATTTCAAGGAATTTATTACGAGTAGAAAAAATATTGTGCTTGGTTGGCGTTGGTTTCTATTATGGAGTCTAAACGGAGGAGGCGAATCGAACGCAAACATTTTGGGTCCAGATTTCATGATCTAAATGAAGTTCGAAGATCGCCGTTAGGGGCGCTTGTGATGATAGGGATACTAAAAATACACAGCTTCTTATGGCAAGAATAACTATTTTGTTATAAATTATAGAGCCATGTTAATATTTGGACATATTTTTACCAGAGTTAGCTTTTAGAAACGTGTTTTTTTCGAATTGAGCAATGTGCGTGGGTAAAATTGTGAATACGATACTTTAAATTTGAGTTTGAAAAGTTAGTTAGGTTATATCAGATGCCGGTTTTAGATATTCTTTTCCTAAGTTGTTATTATAAAAATGTTTTATTATGGGGTTCTATTTAGTGCATACACGGCCGAAGAAAAATATAAGCTGCTAAAGTAAATGTTTCCTTCAACTGGTGTACAAAAAATATAGAAGTTCCAGCAACAAACGTATCACCAGTTCAACCTTTGATTTGATGTAAACAGTAATTGTTCCTTGATGAGAAATGTGAATTAAATAGTTTATGATGTGAGTGTGTTAGTGATTTATTAATAATTTTGCTGATGCACTTTAAAGTTTCATCCACTTTACTATTAATACAAGTATGAGGTAGGTTTGTAAATAAAATAATAAGTCAAGGACTAACGTATGATCGAAAAAAACGGCGTCCAGTTGGCTGGGAAATGAACATCTTTGACATTTGTCATATCATTTTATCATATTGTATGTATTCCTTCATATATTTATTTAGGCAGGCAGTAGTATAAGGGTAGTATCTATGAGTAGTATCGACTGACTAGTGAGAAAGAAAATATAGGAACTAGTGAGGTTGCAGTCGGAAGGGTTTGGACTAGAATTAATACACTTTGTTAATGGTCAATCTTTCGGAATTTATTTATTCCATCCTCAGGACACTGAAATGGAAATACATGTTACAGAAAAAAGGCTATAAAAGTCGTCAAGAAGAAAGAACTTACTCAACGTGGTAAAAAACCTTCTCTAAAAAAACTGCATTAAAAAATAGGCTTACAGGAAACATTGAAAGCATTGAAATATTAAATTTATTTATTTAGGAATATAAATACATAACTTTTATTTTGATTAATTGACTAACTCCAAATAGCTAAATTTAATAAATGTAATATACACCTGAATATACAATAAAGAAATTATCTACTAATAGTAAAATAAATTATCTACCCTTATCTACTGATAGTTCCGTTTTGGTTCCGTCAACTAATTTTGTCTAAATAAGTGCATAAAACACATCACTACTGCGAAGCATCTGCGAAGTATTTTGTCTGGGGAACTGTCCTTTGCCAATGCTGTAGCAAGTTAGGATGTCTTTCTTCTTTGTCGATGCTAGGATCCTAGTCATCCTAGTAAAAGAGATATACCTAATTATTAAACAAATTTAAAAAAATATTTTTTCACTATTCGAGGTAGCTGTTATTTTGAAACTACATTTTTGAAGTGTAAATAATGTTTAATATTCACTTTCTATAATATTCAAATAATATTTAATAGCAATGGTTGTTAATATATATTATTAATATCTACTTATTTAATAATAGGTAATTTAAACACCTAGTAGCACATATATAATAACATGTTAGTAGGTATTAAAGTATTAAATTATTATTTTAGGCTCTCTAGGTTATGTCATGCAGATGTTCGATTTTGGGCTATATTCTCTATTAATATGATTTTTAAATAAATCTGTACACTGATTATATATAATTTTAATGTTTTTCTTAACATCTATCATAATTTTTTTTAAATAAATAATCATATTACTTACATTAGGAGCTTTGAAAAGTTTTGGGTTACTTTTCTTTCTTCGCTTTTTTTTCATTGAAATATCCACTTCTACAGCCAGATACTGAACTATTTCTACTGTATAGTTTTTTTTTTCACAATGCTCATTGTTATACTGCTAAAAGTTCAAAAAATTAACTATAATTTTAGCAAAAACAAACTTAAACCGTATAATAACAATGAAAATATAGTATCCCTATCGATCGCAGTGCCTCTACTGTCAAACCGAGGAACCTACTTAAAAGTGGGGACAGAAATTTCAAATATGCCCATTGCCGATATACCTCCTTTTTTAAACCCTCCATAGTTTCTATGTAATTTGACAAATAAATGAAGCTGTCTCTTTAGTTGTCAGTTTTGAGTCAATATTTTTTAATTCTCTTTCGTGTCGATTGCTGATTGAATTGGAGCCAGAAATGGCTCAAAACGCAATAAGTAAATTACCAACAGATATTCAGGCTGAGGCGACAAACGCCATATCTAAACTACTTCCATTTAAATCCTGAATAACTTATGAAAAGGAATACAAAAATTTTCAAAAATGGAAGCAATTAAAAAACGTGCGAGAAGAAATAAAGTTTTTAACCTATCCTCGCTGTAAAGTATCATTTAATCCTTTGATTTAATCTACTCTTGCCGTTAAAGTACTATTTTATCTACTATTTTTGATAGACATAAGGCAGTTTTAACAGTTGCTATGGAAAAAATACATTTATTTGCTTAAAAATATAAATATTTCAATTTTATTTTTTTCTGCTAAAATTTTAATTATCTATTGATTCATTAAATGCATAAGATATTGATTTTCTCTTAACGTCTATCTCGCTTGCTAAAATTAATTTCAAGTTAAAGTTAAAACTAATTTTACCACTTTGAAGCATCATTATACAGTTCAGAAGTTGATCTTTCCCTTTTTGAAAGAAAATTTGAATTTCATGTTAAATTAGAAATTTGATCTTGATCTGAAATCAGTTATAAAAATTTTAATTTTTTCATATCTATTGATGTTTGATGACACTTTATAAATGGTTAAGATTAAATTTAATTAATTATCTTTCATTTAGGTTGAAATCAGATTGGACTGATGAACAGGAAGATGAACTAAGGCATCTTTTTATGGAATATCAAGAAGCTCCCAAAGATGAAGGTAATTTTTTAATAAAAACTATTGTTTTTAACATACCAATAAAAGTGTTTATTTTATTATCGGATATATATTTAGATCTTCTGGTTTTATCTAACATAGTCACTAGATTTAAATTCAATGGGCATAAAATGTTATATTGTTGCACGTTAAACACAAATTTGTCTAACCAAGAAAAACATATCGCTGTCATTACTGAACAATTTTTAACTGATCCTACAACATTTTTACTCAAACTAATTTTGTATATTAAATTTTTCAGATATTGTTGACTGGATTACTAATAATCTAGTGGATAATACTAGATCTCGAAGACAAGTGTTGAAGAAATTAAAAGACCTTATGTTATTGGTTGATTATAAAGGCAAAAAGAAATCTGGTGCTGCTTCCAGGCCACCGAAGGTATGGACTCAGGACGAAGAAAATAATTTACAAGAATTATTTGAGTTATTCCGGGATTCAAATGGTAATGCATAAGTATTTTAATCTTAATTGTGTTAATTGTAAATAAGTCTTAAATTGTTGGTATTTTTTAGACGTTCTTGGAAACATCATGGATCAGCTCGAGGTTCCAAGACCTAAAAATAGAGTGGTCGAGAAACTTCTAGTGATGGGGTTAATTCAAGATAAACGAGAAGTGTACAAGAAAAGATCTAAAAAGAGCACGAAATGTAAGTTAATATATGGGTTGTTTGGGTTTTGGGAATATTATATTATTATTAAGGGGGGGGGGGGAGTAGTATAGATCAAACAATCTAAGTAAATTAAGCTTAAGATTTTGCAGTATATATTATTTATTTTATCTTCCAAAGCAAGAATACAATAAATTGAATATACTAGATATACTATTAGGATGTTAACGTTTACATGAAAATATGTTTTTGTTGTTCTATGAAGATAGCTATATGAAAGAAATTTTAATTGTTAATTGATTACTGTTTTCGAACAAATATATTGAATTTAATTTGAATAATGGTTGTGACGATGTATTTTTGATGCTACTGAAATTTAAAATCCAAATTTTGTTTACTGGATTAACTGGAAAACATTCATCAATCTTTTTCATGGTTATATAAATTCAGAATAATTTTAAAATGCTAATCCAGGTCATTAATTTCTTTAAGCGAAAAACACTACTCTTGTTGGTTGGATAATGTAAATATTTTACAAACTATAGCCATACATTTTTAATTTTTTTTAATAATTTATGAAAGTGGCTCACTTTTAGATTACATTATGAAATAAACAAAATAAGGTTTTAAGTAGTTTGTAAGTTTTAAATTTTCACGTATCCATAAAAGGACACTTTCACCGAACCATTGCAATCATGGAATAACTGACTAAAAGTCACTTATAATAAGATATTTAATAGAAAAATCCTAACCACAACAATCCGCTTTTTTTCGCGATTTTTGTTCGACGAACACGCTCTGCGCCATTTTCCAAAAAATGAAACAGAAAAAATCACGGTCTTTCAAGAAAATCGTGACACAATTGACGACGAAGATCAATGTGCCGCGACGACAAGAAATATATAAAAGGAAAAGAAAAGCGAGGTATCTTCTATCGATTCTAAACAAAAAAAAAATCACTATAATTTTTCATCGCATTTTTCTTTCAGCAAGTTTTAGTAAAGTCTGGAAAATATATCATATTTCGTTTTGTTTCGTTTCGTGTTCAGATTTTTGATTTTTTATTTACTTCATAAATTTTTTTTTCAATATCGGTTAAAAGTATTTATACAAGGACTAATCAGTATTAAATTAGAATGAAAATCAGACTTGCCACTCGTTTAACACCATCTATTACTTTTCTTTTTTCACGTAAAAAAAGTATGAAGACGTATGAATACGTCGATCAATCCTAATTTATGTCATATACTAACATACAGTATTGGCCAAAAGTGGATGAACCAATACCAATAATTGCGAAGAAAATCAGATTTGAGGTGTTAAATATCAAAATTATTTTATGTACCTTTGTATGTTAAAAGTTTAATACATTCTCACCAAAATACTACAAACAAATATAAATTCTTCTGTTAGTCTTATTATTTATAGATAAGAATTGGCAAATATTGCTTTTTTGTCTTGGACAAAAGTAGATCAACCAAATATTTTTAAAAATCGTTAGTTTCATTTGTTCTGCTTTTATGAACAATTGCGATTTAAAAACATTTGAGCTCTTGTGATATATCATGCCACGTGGAATTAACTTTTCTGCAGATCTTAAGTTGCGAGTAGTGAATGCTTTTAAGGATGGTTTGAAGCAATCGGAAATCGCTAAGCAATTACGCCTTGGAAAATCAGCGGTACATTATATTTTAAAGAGATATAATGAGAGAGGAGATGTCTCTATAAAAAGAAAACCAGGACGCCCTAAAAAAGTTGGTCCCAATATGATAAAAGCCATAAAACGAATTTCTTCACAAGATCCATTTTTGCCGTCAACGAAGATAAAAGCAAAACTTGAAGAAATGGGCTATCCACCAGTGAGTACAAGGACGATTATCCGACGTAAATTAGTTGACCAGAAGTTGTTTTCCCGAAGACCCGCCAAGAAACCACTGCTATCAAAATAAAATTTGAAGGCCCGATTAGCATTTGCCAACGAATATCAAAACTGGACTGTGGCACAATGGAAAAAGTTTGTTTTAGTGATGAATCAAAGTTTAATTTGGTATTATCAGATGGAATTCAACATGTAAGAAGACCTCCCAACACACGATTGCTACCAAAGTACACGCGACCCACTGTAAAACATGGTGGGGGCTCAATCATGGTATGGGGGTGTTTTTCTGGGGTATGGGATGGGGCCTCTCCATAAAACTGAGGGCATAATGGATCGGTTTGGCTACAGAGACATTTTACAAAACCTTTTAGTGCCTTATTTGGAGGAAAAATGCCAGTTGTACACTACTTCCAACATGATAACGACCCGAAACATGCCTCACAATTGGTTAAAAGGTTTTTGGAAGATGAAATGGTGACTGTTCTCAAATGGCCATCGCAATCCCCAGACCTGAATCCAATAGAAAATTTATGGAAAATTTTGGATCAACACATTAGGACCAAATTCTACAAAAATAAGCAAGAATTATTTGCAGTTTTGGAAGAGTCTTGGAAAAATATCGATTTTTCTATAATTGAAAATCTTCTGGGATCCATGCCTAAGCGATGTCTGAAAGTAATTAAGAATAAGGGTTATTACACTAAGTACTAGTAAATTATAAGTTAATTTTTCAGTTTTTGTTAACATAAGATTTTTTTTATTAAATATATATTTTGTTCATCTACTTTTGTCTAATAGTTTTTTCAATTTAAATTTTTTGCTACCTTATTAAAGCACATTTTAAAAAAACAATGCTATTTATTTTTATAGCACTGACACTAGACTTCAAGTAAATATAGCTCAAATTTTTTAATTTTAAACATATTAGGAAAAACCCATTATTTTAACAAAGTTCATCCACTTATGGCCAATACTGTACGTAACATATCAAAAGCAAGAATTGCAAGAAGTTATGACTGCACTGTGCTCTATTAGTGAAGAATATAGCTTGGAACTAAACAAACGGAAAACCAAGACGACGATTGTTGATCGCTTCCGCAACAAACAACCTGATGTCCGATCCGTGGCTGGATACGAAGTTGTGAGCCAGTTCAACTATTTAGGTTCCATGATTCCATGACTATACTTTGGAGGATGCGAGGCTGAAATCAGGTGCAGAGTGGCAATGGTGAGGAATGCAATTATAAAGCTGATTAAGATATGGAAGACTTCAGCAATCACATGAAAAATTAAACAGCGCATTGCGAACTCCCTCATTTTCCCCATACCTATGTATAGCTCTGAAACATGGACACTAAAGGAAAATGATAAGCAAAGAATAAACGCCTTGGAGATGTGGGTATATCGACGGCTGCTGCGAATAGCATGGACGAAAAATTTAGACAATGAACTAAAAATTGAGACACGCCTGGTTACCAAATTAAATCAGTCAATCCTCCGGTATTTTGGCCATATTGCCAGGAGTGGCAGCTCAATTGAGAGACTGATGGTGGAAAGGAAGATAGAGGGAAGACGACCACGTGGAAGGTCACTTAAGATGTGGTTAGACCAAGTCAAAACCCTAGTGGGCCACAACCTCCCCGAAGCCTCACATATGGCGCAGTGTCGAACAACTTGGTCCGAGGAAGTGAGGTTAATCAACACATGATGTCACCATACTCTCACATAGGGTGAAGGATTGAAGAGAGACTAACATAACAAATCTCGTTTTCTTATCTGAAAAAATAAGAAAGTTATAGAGCCACTTTTCAGAACCACCCGGTATAAAAACGCATAATGGTTCTCTCTCGACATGCCTGTTGACTTTTTGCGCTCCCCGAAAATCGTTTCCTGAAACAAGATGAAGCTGTACGTCGCCAACGTCAGGAACAGAGCGTACAAGGGGTCCGCCGAATTCAACGACACGACATGCTCGAATTGCCCTTCATCAAAATCGTTTATCTTTTATCTACGCTCTCCGTCCGTCGCCGGCTGGATTCTCCTTTTGGCAGGAGACAAAAACTGCGCCACGGAAATTGGGGTAAAAGTGGTATGTATAAATGGTTCTTGAATCGCTTTCAAGAACATGCATCAAAGATTAATACGAAAAGTTTAAATCGGGCGCCCCGCGGTGTTGTTTCGCATTAGACTTGCGGAAATATACGCAGAACAAAACAGCATCGTAAATATATTAAAACATATAATATTTTATTATACAGGGTGTTATGAATAAGTACAACTGTGTTATTTTGGACTTATTTGAAAAACGATAAAGAGAAAATTTGTTTCTTTTATCGACATATACCAACCCTTAAAATACTTATTCGCACTTATTTCTGGGACACCCTGTATAGCTTGGTACCCACGAAGAACCTTAGAGACCTAGAAGAAGACCAAACCTGAGATGAGACCATGATATTAGGAAATTAGTAGAGAATAACTTGGGTCCGCATAAACAACAACACAGAGAGTATCTAAATATGTTAGTTTGGTTAGGTTAGGTATACAGAGAAGACCAGGCTACTAGTAACATAGCAAGGTGCCGGACGAATTTACGTTTACCCGTTTTGCGTTCGTACTCGAGAGTCACTGCCAGCTAGTCGGCTGGTCAGGCAGTACGCAGTTGCAGTTGTGCTTGGACGGGTCGGTCGTGACAGACTAGGAATACGACGCGAGGAGTGCCGTGTATTTATTATTTTCAATTTAAGTGTTTACCTTCACTTAAGGTAACATTTAAAATAAAAATACTTAAATATTTATTATTTGAGTGTGTTTACAAGCCAAAACTAAAAATAAATAAATTCTCTAAACCCAAAAAAAAACTATAATATTACTCTAAATAAAAAAAAGTGTTCAAAAAGACCACCTTCTTGTGCTAGACAGAAGCCTAGGCGGTCGTAAAATCCCCGTCTGACATTGGCTAACATATTAGGGCTAATAGTTTGGAAAGCCTCTCGTATTTTTACTTGAAGCTCATTCAGATTATTAGCCCTATTATGACCATACACTTTGGATTTTACATAATCCCACAAAAAGAAATCACTGGGAGAAAGATCTGGTGATCTCGGGGGCCACAAAATAGTTCCATATCCACTAATTAAACGGTTGGGAAACGTATTGT